AGAAAGTGAAATTTGCAAAACTGGTGAACTTTTTCTCAGTTGCCATTTCGCACCGGACAAAACGTGTTGCAAATGGGGGTGAAAGTGCAGAACGGCACGGCTCCTCCTGGCGCAACGAAGCTCATCGTAAAAGTGAGCCCTGAAAATAGAGATATTAAAATAGAGATATTAAAACAGAGCATAGTTGGTTGAAAACGAGATGAAATATGATGTTAACTTACCGAAAATGAAGGCGAGCAAAAGGCAGACTGAAAACGGACGCATCTTCTCGATTTCTGAAAACAAAAGTCTGAAAAAAAGAGAAATGTTGGCAAAGAAGTTGAAAAAACAAATAAAACAAACAAAATAAACAAAACAAACAAAGCAAACAAATGAAAATGGTTGTAAAGAAAAACTTTTAAGAGCATTTTAGCTTTTGTTTTAACTAAAAATACGACAAAACTGAAGAAATTTAGGGAAATTTAGAGACAAAAGGTAACTTAATTAAAAGTGAAGACAAAGAAATATAAAGAAAACGGATTTCAAAGGAAGTCAAAGGATTAGCCTTAAGTTTTTTAATCTGAGAAATTCTTTGACATGACAGACATTTGCCTTATTAGCATTACCTTATCAACATTGCCTTATTGGATACAAATTGTCTCGCTTTTATGTCGTAGCTGGAGTTAAATTAGAAACGATAAATGCTAAATCGAAGAATGAACTCGTGTCATTTGGCCACCACACCCGGTTGACCTTCCCTTGTGAGTGGCCAAAGCTCAAAGCCAAGCTTGGAGAAATGCCGGATAATCGTTGAATGATTTAATGACAATGACAATGATTACCGCTGTAAACATCCACCGCGTCATCACATCCAAACTGATCATCACCGAGATAACGAAGATCATAAGATTAGAAGAGATTTTCGTTGTCCAGTCTTGATTAAAAACAGTTATGCGAATTAAAATCCCGAAAGCATACCAAAAAGCGATTTGAAAAACGGCCATCGAGCAGCATAGCTAGATTCCTTTGAAAAACGCACAAAAACGACTAAAAATAGGCGATGAAGTTTCAAAACCTAATCGAAATCGAAACCTTATCGAAATCGCAAATTGACAAAGAACATTGACGTTGACTAAATCGTCGCCTGCTGAATCAGAAAAGCAACGATGGGAGCATTCGAGTCGCAAGTTAGGAAAGAAATTCTGTAAAGGAATTGTAAAGAAGGTTTTGTTCGAAAGGTTGTAAAAGAAAGTTCGAAAACGATCAGAAACTTACAGCGTCGGAAACACGAACAATACAAAGTGATCGTTTCAGGCGTAAAGAAATCGGCTAACATTTTCGCCGACAGCAATCACTCTGCCTCAAAGCTTTTTTCTCCAATTTTATCTACCGAATTGCCACGTTTAGCTGTGTGTTTGAGCCACACAAAAATTGCATAAAGTTGCATAGAACAGAGAGAAGCAACAGCTAAAACGCAATTTTATAGCAATTTAACCCAAATTTTGACATTTTTCTCTTTTCCGCAGAAAATTGAATTCTCTACACAGCCAACGCTAATGTTCCAATTTGCAATTGTGTCGCACTGGCGGAGGATTTCCGGTGGTTTGTGAGTTTGAAGAAATGGCGGCGATTGAGTTCGCGAAAAGATTCTTCATGAAGTAGATTGGCGCTAGAGTTTGTTTCATTGCCACAAAAGCTTTGGACTTTCAAAGAAGAATTTTGTTTTTCTTAAACAAAGATCTCAGTACTTATTGGTTATCTTCCACGTTCCAAAAAAAAGAAACCAATCGCTCGAATCGGACTGAAACTGGGACATCTCGACATCCCCAGAGTCGGGGTTCGATTCCCCGACTCTATAACCGAGTATACAAAACTTTGGTCTTTGGACAAAGCTTTGGTCAAAATACGGCTGAAAAAATGCCCGTACAGAGGCAGACAGAAAGACAGACAGAAAGACAGACAAAAAGACAGACAGATACCGTCACAAGTGTGAGACTCAAAAATGGAGGACTGGAGATGTCGAGATGTCCCAGTTTGAGCATTTGAGCACTTTCTTCAAAAGAAACCCATTTTGGTGCCAATGGAAAAGTTGTAGAGAATCAAAAATTAAGCTTATATCCAAATTTTCAGAACGATTCAAAAACTGGTTTTCAATGAATCCCAAATTTGCGAATTTTCACAAAACTTGCAACAAAACTTGGATTTTAAGCGAAACTACTAAGTGTATCTTTTTGGAAATTTGGCTATAAGGCTCATTTTTGATTCTCTACAACTTTTCTATTGACACCAAAATGGGTTTCTTTTGAAGAAAGTGCTCAAATGCTCAAACTGGGACATCTCGACAACTCAGTCCTCCATTTTTGAGTCTCACACTTGTGACGGTACCTTTTTGTCTTTTTTGTCTGTCTTTCTGTACTGTCTTTCTGTCTGCCTCTGTACGGGCATTATTTTCAGCCTGTGATTAAAATAAAATGACCAAAGCTTTGTCCAAAGACCAAAGTTTTGTATACTCGGTTATAGAGTCGGGGAATCGAACCCCGACTCTGGGGATGTCGAGATGTCCCAGTTTCAGTCCGATTCGAGCGATTGGTTTCTTTTTTTTGGAACGTGGAAGATAACCAATAAGTACTGAGATCTTTTTGTTTAAGAAAAAACAAAATTCTTCTTCTTTTGAAAGTCCAAAGCTTTTTGTGGCAATGAAACAAACTCTAGCGCCAATCTACTTCATGAAGAATCTTTTCGCGAATCTCAATCGCCGCCATTTCCTTCAATATCTCACAAATCCGAACACGACTTATATATTGGAAATCTCTTCCGCCAGTGCGACACAATTTGCAAATTGGAACATTTTAGCGTTGGCTGTGGTGAGAATTCAATTTTTCTGCGGAAAAATTGAGAAAAATGTCAAAATTTGGGTCAAATTGCTATAAAATTTGCGTTTTAGCTGTTGCTTCTCTCTGTTCTATGCAACTTTTATGCAATTTTTTGTGTGGCTTCAAACACACAGCTAAACGTGGCAATTCGGTAGATAAAAATTGGAGAAATAAAGCTTTTGAGAGCTTTTAGAGTGATTGCTGTCGGCGAAAATGTTAGCCGATTTCTTTACGCTCTTCTGCAAACGATCACTTTGTATTGTTCGTCGTTTCCGACGCTGTAAGCTGTTTCTGATCGTTTTCGAACTTTCTTTTACAACCTTTCGAACAAAATCCTTCTTTTACAATTCCTTTTACAGAATTTCTTTCCTAACTTGCGACTCGAATGCTCCCATCGTTGCTTTTCTGATTCAGCAGGCTGACGATTTAGTCAACGTCAATGTTCTTTGTCAATTTGCGATTTCGATAAGGTTTTCGATTTCGATTAGGTTTTTGAAACTTCATCGCCTATTTTTAGTCGTTTTTTGTGCGTTTTTTCACAAGGAATCTACGCAAAATATGCTGCTCGATGGCCGTTTTTTCAAATCGCTTTTTGCTATGCTTTCGGGATTTTAATTCGCATAACTGTTTTTAATCAAGACTGGACAACGAAAATCTCTTCTAATCTTATGATCTTCGTTATCTCGGTGATGATCAGTTTGGATGTGATGACGCGGTGGATGTTTACAGCGGTAATCATTGTCATTGTCATTAAATCATTCAACGATTATCCGGCATTTCTCCAAGGCTATCGGGCATTTGATACGAGCCCCGCCCCTTTTGCTATTGGCAATCCAACTTTGAGCTCAAATTTCTTAGTGTTGAGCTGTCCAATTTATATGTCGTAGCCGATTATGAATGAAATTTTTTGGCAAATTTTTCTAGTAGAGCAACCCTTTAATGTATGAGGACAATATTATATCATTTTGTAGCGAATTAAATTCTGCGTCGATTGGTACCAAATTTGTGAGTTTAGGTTAAAAATTGCCGGCGCTACAACGTTTCATGCAAAATCGGCAGGACCCCCGTAGCCGATTATGAATGAGTGGGTCTAGAAGCGTCCAACCATCAAGTATTTAGTATCATTCAACGCAGAATCATTGATAATTATGTTAAATTTTTAAAATTAGCAAGATTTGATGAAAAGAAAAAAAATTAGCGCAAAAAACTATTTGTTCAAAAGAAGACTTTGAAGCCCCATAATTTTTTTTCTTTTTATCCAATCTTTCTAATTTAAAAAATTTAACATAATTATTAATGATTCTGCGTTGAATGATACCAAATACTTGATGGTTGGATGCTCCTAGACCCACTCATTCATAATCGGCTGAAATTCATAATCGGCTACGACATATATATTTTTGGTATCATTAGATGCGCCAAGTCTTTCTCTATCGATTGGTACAAAAACTATTTAAATTGAAAAGCCCAACATCAAGAGATTTGAGCTGATTGCCAATGGCAAAAGGGTGCGAGGCGACCTTTTATACGCGCCCCGCCCCTCTCTCATAGCCATAGCTTTGAGCTCTAATTTCTTGGGGTTGAGCTGTTCAATTTATATATTTTTGGTATCATTAGATGCGCAAAGTCTTTCTCTATCGATTGGTACAAAAACAGTCCAACATCAAGAGATTTGAGCGCAAAGTTGGATTGGTAATGGCAAAGGAGCGGGGCGTGTATAAAAGGCCCGTCGTCCCGCCCCTTTCCCCATCGACAATCTAACTTTAAGCTCAAATTTCTTGGTGTTGGACTGTCCAATTCCAATAGTTTTTCTACTAATCGATAGAGAAAGACTTGGCGCATCTAATGATATCAAGAATATTAAAATTGGACACATCAGCACGAAGATATTTGAGCGCAAAGTTGGATTGGCAATGGCAAAGGAGCGGAGCGCTTATAAAAAGTCCCACGATCCGATTCAAATGCAGCAAGTAAATTTTAGCACTCAAAAAGCAAAAGCACGTCCATCGAAAAGCTGCTGATGCTACAGGTTGGAGATTTGAGTTTCCTTTTTGCAATTTTAGAATTAGAACAACAAAAGCTAACAACAGCTTTCAAAAGCTTTCAAGCCGACAACTTGAGTTTCTCAATTTGAAAACGAGAATTCAGATGCTGTCCAGCTCAGCCGTTTATTTCTACAGCTATCTCGTGTCGTCTGCACTCAACATTCTGGCATTATTTGTTTTCGGCTTTTGGCTAGCGAATGCTTTTTACGGGTTTCTCGTCTCTTTGAATCTCATTCTGACAACTCTGGGCCAAGGGTAACGATCTTTTTCGACTTTAAAAAGCTCAAACTTAAAGCTTTTTTTGCTTTTTTTTTGCTTTTTTTGCAATAATCCATATAAAAAGATAAAAATCATGATGAAATGAGCTTTTTTTTAGGCTAATTCTCGTGTTTTTCCTAAGGAAACGAACTTCAAAGGCTCAGCACACAAAAGCCGCTTTCTCCAACAATTCGGAGACAAGTTTCACCGCCCAGTCGACAGCAGTAACGAGTCAAAAAACGACGAGCCGAGCTACGAATTCCAAAATCACTATACGACGATACTAAAAACGTTTTACGAGAGTCGTTTTTTTGCAAAAATTTAATACACAGTGATTGGGAGAAAAATTTTTTTGAAACAACAATCCTCACCAAACAAAACAACAAACAATTAACGTTTAACCAGATCCTATTGATCGTTTTGACGGTTATTTTGTTCGTTTTCACGCGTTGATCATTGCGTTTATGAAGAAAAACACGGAGAACGGAGAAAAACAGTCAAAATGCTTCATTGAAAAGTTGAGGAGTGAGCGGGGCTTGCTAACGGCTAACGACTGTCTAGCCGGCTGACGACTGTCTAGCTGGCTACCGACTGTCTAGCCGGCTGACGACTGTCTAGCTGGCTACCGACTGTCTAGCCGGCTGACGACTGTCTAGCTGGCTACCGACTGTCTAGCCGGCTGACGACTGTCTAGCTGGCTACCGACTGTCTAGCCGGCTGACGACTGTCTAGCTAGCTGACGACTGTCTAGCTAGCTGACGACTGTCTAGCTGGCTACCACTCAGTTACGACTACGACTACCAACTGTCTAGCTGGTTGTTTTGACGGTTATCGTGTTCGTTTTCACGCATCGATCATTGCATTTACGAAGAAAAAACAGTCAAAATGCTTCATGGAAAATTTGAGGAGTGAGCGGGGCTTGCAAAATCCCTCTGGATTCCGCGCGTTGCCAAAAAAGCCTTCCTAGGGTTTTCGAGTACGCTGATTCGATTAATGATATTATCCTGAACAAAAGGTATCCTAAACAAGAAGACAGTCAACAACCAAAGCTAATGAGGGACCTAAGCAAGCTAATATATTTCTTAAAAACAAAGCAGATAGACTCAACCTTAAGATCATTTTTCTAAGAATCTAAGAATTTGACAACCTCTCTTGTAGCACTCGGATTTACGCTTGATTCCTTAGGCTTGTGACTAAAACGCATTGGTTCTTGACAATTGAGACCGAACCGGATAGCAGAACCCATAACAGTCTTCGATAGTCAAACTCATCATCGATCTTGGCTTTGAGCTTTGGCCACTCACAAGGGAAGGTCAACCGGGTGTGGTAGCGAAATGACACAAGTTCATTCGTCGATTTAGCATTTATCGATTCTAATTTAACTCCAGCTACGACATAAAAGCTAGACAATTTGCATCGAATCAAATTTGACATCAAATTTAAAACAATCATCGTTCCAAGTATTGATTGAAACTCGCTCATTTCACTAATGTCATCAATGTCGCAAAGAATTGATGTTTTAGATTTTAATTATTTTTTAATAGTTAAAAGTAAACATTTTTATCAGAAATAGTTTGAAAAAGACTTTTATTTGAAATGGAGATCAATTAACTTCTAAAAAAGCAAAACAAGGTCGAAGCCCGGACTCGAACCCGAGAGGATTTGCCTTGTATTCTAGCCGACTACCACTCGGCCACCACTTCTTTCCGAACCCTCTGGGAAATCTGCTCCTAAACTCGAGGGATGTTTTTTTTAATTCCATACAAAACTTTGAGGGCTTACAACTTTTGACAGAGTGCTGCATTGCAAAAACGCAAAGAAGATTCGGAGTCAGCGCAAAATCCTTCGTCGAAATAGTATATATGGCTTGGGTCATTTGGTCTTGCAGAATAGCAGTCTCTGCTTCGATAGGCACTCGTCAAACTCATCATCGGTCTTGGCTTTGAGCTTTGGCCACTTAGTAAAAAGATTAAACGACTTAAGGTCCAGCTTATTAGCTGCAGCTATTCCCGGCAAAATGAGAAATGTAGAGTAAGAAAACATAGGAAAACAAAAATAAGTCGCAAATAGGTTCTGAAAATATCACTAATCGAATCAGCGTATCCGAAAACCCTCGAACGCTTTTTTGATTCCTATAGAAACGCTAAAAATCCTATAGAAAACAATTTTTTTGCCGATGTGGATCTGGATGTGGAAGGGGGACTTAGGGGGGCACTTTTGTGGCCAAGAGGGGCACCAGGGTGTCCCAAGGGGGTGGGGTCACTCCGAATGTCTTATCGAAACCTTGTTTCTATTGCAAAATGAAAAAAATCTATTTCAAAAGGTTCCCCGATATTTTGAAAGTTTTGACTCTTGATTGGGTGGCTGTGAGAAGGATGAGAAGCTGAATTGTTGTTGAGAACGAGGAAATCTCTTCGCAGTCACGATTTGTCGAATGGAGTCTTCCCGAAAAGAATCGAGAGCGTTTAAATGGATTTCGAAATGAATTCAATGTAATGAGAAGTGAGGAGGAAGTGGAATGAGAAGAGAATGGGAGACAAGAAAGTGGGAAAAGAAAGAGAGAAAAGAAAGTGAGAAAAGAAAGTAAGAAACACCTCTGGGAAATGATCGATTCAATACCACCTGCTTTTCATTAAATCTCCTAACAATCAAAAGCTACATGTGATGAGATTTTACAATTCGGCTCCCCGAATTCAATTCCCCCAATGAATCAAATTGCTTACGAATATCCGACAGTTTACTTGAAATCATCGAGAATCATCGGCTCTTTGACTACAATCATCAATTTGTATACAATTCATTTAATCCTTTGCAAATCGCCGAAATCAATGAAAACCTATAGCATTTTCCTGCTATTTTATCAAGTAAAATCTTAAAGAAAAACAAAACTTTATATCTTTTTTAAGGTTTTTTCTGCTTTATTAGAAATCTTCTTGCATTTGGCTGAACCGGAAATTTTTCTGCCGACCATCAGTGGCATTGCTCACGGTTTTTTCTACACTTACTGCGAGATGAGTTGTGCAATTCATTGTGTAAGTGTTAGCAAAATTTGAAAAGCACTTACAGTAGTAGAAATTTGGAAAATAACGCAAATCTTCAAAATATTAGGTTGGTGGGAAAATAATCGAAATAAACAAAACTCAAAATTTTTCTTTGCTTTTAAAAGTCCTTTTGCGTCATTGATACGAAACTTTTAGCTATTTTGATGGAATTGGAAAAGTTGTTTCGCGTTGGCAGCAGCGTAAGCAGCAGATGCTGATGGTTTTTACTTTGAATAAATTCATTTGTTATTGACTTTTAGTTTTGGACTCGAAGTTAGAGGTTCCAAATTTCGATTATTTTCCCACCAACCTAATAGAATGAGTTAAAAATTCTAACCATTTTACCATTTTAATTTAAAAACCATTTTAAACAATAGTCCTAAGTCCAAAGCATACAGAAAACATGTTTAAGAGTGAAAATATCTCACTAGAAGCCCCTTAAGAATCTTTCAAAAAAATCCCTGTGATCCCCCACAAGAAATCTTTTTCGAAAAATTATTTTTTAATTTTTTTAGAGATCACATTTTCTAATTTTACTACCGATAGCATATTATTTCATTCTGAACCCAAATTGACCAATTCACGCAAAAAAGATTGGAAAAATAGATTTTTCGAGGGGTCAGGGCACCAAATCTGTAAAGAAAAGGAAACAAATCCCTAGAGAAAAGGAACCAAATCTGTATCGAAAAGGAATCAAATCTGTAGAGAAGAGGAACCAAAGCTGTAGTGAAAAGGAACCAAATCTGTATCGAAAAGGAACCAAATCTGTATCGAAAAAGAACCAAATCTGTAGAGAAAAGGAACCAAATGGCAGGCCAATGCTCCGTTGCCACCCCCTCCGTCGTCCCTCCCTTTGGTACGGGCCTGGGCCAGGCTCTCTATAGAAGCTCTCTATTGAAGCTCTCTATTGAAGCTCTCTATTGAAGCTTTCTATTGAAGCTCTCTATTGAAGCTCTCTATTGAAGCTCTCTATTGAAGCTCTCTATTGAAGCTCTCTATTGAAACTCTCTATTGAAGAGTGCCCTCGAGTGATTAAAAGGGCACTTGAGTGCCCTTTTATTAGAATAATTACGGTAATTTACAGGAAAAAATGATGGTATTCTTTCCCTTTTCAAAATTACAACTTAATTAACTTTATGGAGGTTTTTGGGGATTGTGCTTATTCCCAGTTAATTTGATACAGAATTAAGCCCATTTCAAAAACGACATTAAATCGCTTTCCTTTCCTCGGTGCTATTCTTGCTGAAAAGGAAGCTCTCTTTTCTCATATGAATATTCTTATATTTCTTATATTTCACGAAAATCAACTTCCATTTCTTCGATTATTTCAATCATTTCTAGAACATCTTCGGTTTTCTACTCATCTCAATGATTCTGTCGATTGCTTCTTGTTTCTTCTACCGCTATCATGCCATTCTGCCCAGAGATCATTTGTTTTCGTACGAAAAACGAAAAGTAGTTAACCGAGAACCCCATTTTTTTTCTAGGTTAAAAGTGCAAACAATTGCGATTTTTTTTGCCGTTTTCTATTTCTCGTATTTATTTCTTATTTGGGTTGGAATCTGGGGATTTCATTTTGAGCATCCGCCAATCGCCGCTGGACTCAACAAATTGTTGGAGGTTTGTCGATTTTCTTTAATAAATCCTAAAATTTTGAAAGGACTATCCCCAATATGCTTTTGTGGGAAATATCGCCGACGCTTGGATTGCCGATTTGAAAACACCGTTGCCGATATTTTCCTTTTCTCCCAAAACCCTTTTGATCTTGCTGCTTGCCGTCGGAATTCCGGGAATCATTCTTTTGGTTAGAAAACCTTTGACTCTTTGGTATAAACAAACTTTTTGGTATCAACAATTTTCAGGGCACAGCTGCGACACTGCATGCGTTTCACCTGCTCAACAGTTCGCTCATTCGCATGAGTCCAAAAACGAGGGCACTCCACAAAAAGCTCGTCCGTGGGCTTGCGTTGCAGGTGTGAAAATACACCGTGAATACTCTACAGAGTGTCCCACAATTATGGTGAAAAAAGTCTACAAAAAAAATATTAACAAAAGTCTACCGACGTTATTTTGTCAAAACAAATAGTAATAACAACCTTTTTTTGCTCAAAACAACTGTAAAAAGATTAAAAAAACATCTAGAATTCAAAATGGCCACCATTAGCAGTATAATATTTTCTTAAGCGCTTGAGGAAATCATCAATGGCTTTTTTTAATGGTCGTGATAGAGATTTCATTCCATGTTTTGATTAAATCTCGTTTCAAGTCAATTGTCAATTGATTTGTGGACTTTAGCAATGCCTTGCTTTCAAGAAGATCATATTAAGTAATCTAAGGGATTGAGATCGAGCGAGTTTGATGGCCATTCCTCTGGGCGTTGTTGACTGATGTCCACGGCGATACAATCTGGAATCTGGGAGTTGATGCAAGTTGTTGGAGATTCAATTTTGTGTATCAACAGCCTTGTGAGATGGAGCACTGTCTTGTTGAAAAACTCAATCATTATCGGCACCAAAGCTTGAGACCAAAGCTTGAGACCAAAGCTTAAGACCAAAGCTTGAGACCAAGGCAAAACTTCTTCTCCAAGCATATCGACGTAAACTTTTTTGTCAAACTTGACTCCAGCGGGAATGAAGAGCAAGTGCGTTTTTCCGCTTCTTTCCGGCCCAAATCATGATTTGTTAAGGATTTTGTTGTCTTGAAACAATTCTATCGTCTAACGGAAGAGGTTTTTTGGACAAAGTTCGATCGTTCTGATAGTTGCTCAATATCAAATCACTTTTCATCTGTGAAGAGGATCTTCCGGTGTCGGCCAGCACCAGCACGCCCAGCTTCAAAGCGCAAAAAACATTCTTTCTCTTTTTCTGGAAGATTCGATACGATTTCTGCGAGTGTTTTTCCTTGCTGATGAAGAGTAATAATGGCTAGAGGCAGCTCTTTCTTAGACTTTATACCTAAAAAACAATAAAATCATCGAATTAATAAGAAAAGAGAAGAAAGGCAGAAAGCAGTTAAACGTAGTAAAATGCGCGTCACCATAATTGCTGGACACCCTGTAATAGAAGCATCCCCTATAGGAGCGTCATGTAGTCTAAGTTTACTCTCAAACAAACGCTTCTATCGCAGCACCAGTACGTTTTTTTCTGCGCACTTAGGTATCAAATTAAAGTAGAGAGAATGAGTGATTTTTTTGAGATAAAAAACATATTTTTAGCAATAACCAGCGCTTAGAACAAAATGAATGAAAAATGATGAAAAATCGGCTTTTTTTGCCACTTTGCAATCATTTTTTAATTTGCTCAATTTCAGGTTTTCACTCCGATTTTCTCGATGGCAGTTCCGGGAGTGATTGCTGTTTTTACGGTGATCACCGATTCGTTTCCCCAGCAGTGGTTTATCAATGCGTCTACCCTTCTGCTCTCTCTGCACGGCGGCTTCGGATCGTTGTCGATCATTTTATTCACAGAATCCTATCGACAACATACTAGGAATTGTCTGAAAATAGTGGCTCGGTATTGGAGAATAACTAGAGTCTTTAAAACTGAAATTTAGATTCAAATCTTCAACCATTGTCCACACAATTCCTTCCATTATAATCAACCAACCGACTCGTTAAAGTAAAAGTTGAATATTCTTTGTCACTTTTTTGTCAAAAAAAACAAAGCTTTCCTTTGAATTTGATGTCTTCATACCATAAACACACAGAAACTTGGACTATTTATTATTCTTTTAATTTTTCCCTTGAATTTCTGGTTTACTTTTTATCGATTAAAACTAATTTGAGCAATTTACGAGATTTCGTCTAGTTTCCACTCAATTTACTATAGAAATAATCCCTGGCAAGAAAAGATGGGAAAAAAGATCTTGAAACGAAACTTTTTCACTGCAAAAAAGACTTTAAAATAAACATGGCATCGGGTCGGGTTGGGTCAAAAGTGACCCGCTGACCTGACCGCGACCCGGCTTTTTTCTCGAGTGACCTGCTGAACCGACCGCGACCCGGCTTTGTTGGACTAATGCCAACTATCTTTTCTAAACTGCAATTGGACATGGGCACTATAAACTAAAAAAATGACAAACTGTCACACTACAAATTGGCTTCAAATCTGTTGCATCGACATGAACTATAACTCAAAAAATAGAGAATCTCAAGTGCTTTCGAATGGACTAAAGTACATCCAAAAATATCATTGCTAAAGAAAGTTAAAGTGGTTTGTAGTCCTGTCGAAAGGGACCCTACTCGCACGTAGTTGAAACGATCGAGCCAGGATACAAACCACTATAACTTTCTTTAGCATTGATATTTTTGGATGTACTTTAATCCATTCAAAAGCACTTGAGATTCTCTATTTTTTGAGCTATAGTTCATGTCAATGCAACAGATTTCAAACCAGTTAGAAGCGTAGTTTACGTTTGTAGTTTATACTGTTTGTAGTTAGTAGTTTGTAGCGCCAATGTCTAAAATGCGACCTCTCATTTTCTTGACTGAATACTTTATGCTTAGTTTATAATGGCTGCGATGCTCTCTCACATTTCTCATTTTTTACGTGCATGAAAATTGTTTTTATTGTTAATTTGGCTTTTTTTATTTCACTAAACTTCATTTTCTCAATCACCCGATCGTTTTTCGCAAGAATTGGTGACGAAAATGTGTGTAACCTCTGCAACACCAAATACGAAAGAGGCAAAAAAGGCGGTACGAAAAACCTCAACAATCATCTCAACAATAAACACAAGGAAATTTATGTGGAGGCCAAAACAAAGTAAAAAAAAAAGTTTGTATTAAATGCTCTCAAACTTCTGTTTTTAGGCAGGCTAAAGAAAAGCCAAGAATTTTGCCGATTACAACTTTCTGCGCTAAGGAAAAGCAAATTGAAACGATTGATGCGGTTAACCTTAAAATAGCCGAGTTTTTTTTTGCAGTAACAATATACCTTTTAACATTGTATTTTTTTACAGACTTACAATTCCAAAGAAAGCTAAAGCTTTAATGAGATGTGCGCGATACTTGCTCAGAAACGGCCGTTCAAGCCCAGATCAAGAGGGAAGCTAACGCGTATTATTGAGAAGCGAGCACAAGAAATAAAAACCGAGGTCTAAAAATTACAATTCATTGCATTAATTGTTTCTCATTTAGACGAAAAACTACTTGAAAAATGCTGATAATGTAGCATTAACAACGGACAAAAGCTCCAGTCCTAATTGCGAATGCAGATTTTTTTGTTTTCACTTTTGTTCACTCAATTCATTTTTGTTTAGGTTGTGACCGCCCATATTGTAGACGGCAAAGACGGCCCCAAGAAAAGTTTACTAATCGATGCTTTTCCACTGTTATCTAAGTAATAAATTTACTTATAAATAGCTTCTAAAAATTGGCTTTAGGAAAAGCATAGACATGGTTGCCGACTTAAAATTGGCTTTAGGAAAAGCATAGACATGGTTGCCGACTTAAAATTGGCTTTAGGAAAAGCATAGACATGGTTGCCGACTTAAAATTGGCTTTAGGAAAAGCATAGACATGGTTGCCGACTTAAAATTGGCTTTAGGAAAAGCATAGACATGGTTGCCGACTTAAAATTGGCTTTAGGAAAAGCATAGACATGGTTGCCGACTTAAAATTGGCTTTAGGAAAAGCATAGACATGGTTGCCGACTTAAAAAAAAACAATGATCGATTTCGAGATTGAACAAAAGGTGAAAATGGCAACCACTGACGGAGGATCTTACGTAAAAAAGGCTATCAGAGATGATCTAAAGTTGAACTGGTAAGCTTTTCATTACTTTCTTTAATTTGTTTGATTTTTTTGCTTTAGGGTGAATTGCTTCGGCCGCAAGCTAAATCTCGTTGTGCGAAAACTTCTGAAGCAAAGCTTTTTGCTTAGTATTATTGATCGAATGGAATCAGCTGTTCGTCGCATACACAAATCGGGAATTTCGCGACGCAATTTTATTGGGTTTGTATGTATAGTTTCAGTTGAAAGTCAAATTTCTTTTTCTTTAAGTTTATGTAAAGAATATGCATTTTGTGGTGCCTCGATCGGAGTGTGAAACTCGCTGGAATTCACTATACTATTTACTAATTGATTGTTTGAGAGCAAAAAGTAAAAATTACTCAGGCCATTTTATTCAAGTAATTACTTACTCGCACTGAGGAACACACTCTAGTGGTGACCATGGTGGCACCCATAATCTCATGATATTCTCCATATTGAGTGGTGTTTTCGTGGAAAAATATGTAGAATTTTAGAGCAAAAACGATTCACTATGACATCACACTTCTAACCATCAGAAATTCTGAGGAATTCCGATTTGAAAACGTTTTTTTATTGGACATATGAAAATTTAGATAAACTTTGAAAGGAAAAAGGAAATCATTTATTTACAAAAACAAAACTCCATGAGATCATTGTATTTTGTTGATAAAGAATTCAAGCAAGCACTCTGATTTCCGTATTTATTTACTCGTAAGATTTCCCCAGTTTTCTGTAGAACATTTGAGTTGGGATCAAGTTTTAACATCTGAAAACTTTTGATTCATAATGGAAAACAAAAACAAGAAGCAGTAAACAGCAAGATTTCATTATTTTTAGTGCTAACGTGTAAAAGGATTTTTCGAATTGTTTTTGAAAGAGATTTCATGAAATTTTATGACCAGATTTTTTAAAAAAAGATAACATTTGCCTTAATCGCAAATTTTTAAGTACTTGAGTTTAGGTTTTGAATCAAACGCATTACCTATTCATTAGCTCATTAAAAACTTGTCTAAAGACTAATCAAAAGTGAATATACAATCAGCTGAAGAAATCTTTTATTTTCACCTAAAGCTCACTGTGATTTTTGATCAAAAAATTTGTTGAAATAGAGTTAATTTTGGGAATTTGGGAAGAATTTGGAAAGAATTTATGGTTTGATTTTTGAGAAATCATTGTCCAAACTTTTTCTACAAACTTTCTTAACAACCTACCGTAAAAATTGTAATAGTACCCCACCCCCATAATGACGGTGCGAAGTGTTGCGTAGTCTAGCTTTGAACAAGTTTTTCTCGACACTGGTTTATGCTACAATGCTCGCTAAGGTATTAAAATATAGCTGAAATTCAGGGCTATTTTTTGATACTAAAGCGCGCATTGTAGCATAAACCAGTGTCGAGAAAAACTCGTTCAAAGCTAGACTACACAACACTCCGCGCTTACAAAGCTAGACTACGTGCCAACCCGAACCGTCAAAGCTAGACTACACAACACTCCGCGCTTTCAAAGCTAGACTACGTGCCAACCCGAACCGTCAAAGCTAGACTACACAACACTCCGAACCGTCAAAGCTAGACTACACAACACTCTGCACCGTCATTATGGGGCTGGGGTATATAGCTAAAATTCAGGGCTATTTTTTGATACCTAAGCGCGCATTGTAGCATAAACCAGTGTCGAGAAAAACTCGTTCAAAGCCAGGCTACGCAACGCTACGTAATAGTAGCGCACCCCCTCCCCCTAAAATGATGGTCGGTCGCGTAGTCTAACTTTAAACACATCTTTCTCGCCACCTGTTTCTGCTACAGTGTGCGCTTAAGTATCAAATAAAAGCTAAAATTCAGGGCTATTTTTGATCAAAGCTAGACTACACAACACTCCGCACCGTCAAAGCTAGACTACGCAACACTCTGCACCGTCAAAGCTAGACTACGCAACACTCCGCACCGTCATTATGGGGGTGAAGTACTATGACAGTATTTACGGTAACATAATTTTGGTGTTTTTTTTTGGTTAGTATTCTCACCGTTCTGAAGTTTCCACCACTCGGTTTCACCTTGAAACCGACCTCATAAGTTCTCGTTTTCTCGATCGGAACAAAACCGTTCACCGTAATCTAAACGCTTTTTCTATAGGGTCGATTTTCGAAAGACTTTACCGTATCTAATGTCAACTGATGACACAAATCGTTGGCGCCTCTTTCGGCAATCATTTTGTTCACTTCATCCACTACAACCTTTCCCGATTCTTTTAGCATCAATTTGTCACTAAAGTCAAGCATTTGTATCTAATTTTTTTTTGCATAAAGGTACATTAATTCAATCTCATTTTCTTTTTCTTTCTTTTCAACGTTTCAAACTAACAAAACGCTAGTTGAGCTATTTTAATCATCAAAAGCTGTAGAGCGAATTCTTTTTTTGGAAAAATTACTGGGAAACACCTGACTTATTACTAAAATGTTATATAGAAATAAAAAGCCCTTCATCTTGACATCATTTCTCTACAAAAAACTTCTCGATTGGAATTATATAACTCATTTTACAAGCTCTTGAATGAGCTCAAGTCGATCTCTCTTCTGTCATTTTTGACACTTTGCTAGCAACTTTGACAAGAAAAAGATAATGATGGCTAGATCTTTTCCAAAAAAGATATTGCCATATTGTACAATATTTGCCACCCTGTACAATATTTACCGTACTGTTGATGATTAAAAAAAGGATCAAACAGCGCTTTGTTAGTTTGAAATCTTTGAAAAAATGACTTAACAGGATTCACCGTAAATTTTCTGGTTGAAGTAGTGAAAAATGGAGAAGAAACTAGCAGAAAGCACTTGATCTCCCATTTTACTAGATCTTTACATTTTA